TGTTGCTGTTGTTGTCGTCGGTCGTTAGCTGCAGAGAGTTGAGCATCAGTTGCGGCAGCTGCTCTTCGAGTCGTTGGGGCCATATTTTCTTTTATAGACTTTACGTTTTGTATCCCAGTTGTACAGGCCGAGCCAGTTCGCACGGCACGCCCACAGCCCACAGCCCACACAATCCACTCGCTTGACCTCTTCAGACATATTTTCGCTTAGAAGACAAAAGAAGAAAAAATTGACTTTTATGTGCGACTATTGGTACAGAGGTGGGTGTGTGTGTGTGTGTGTGTGTGAGTGAATGTTTCTGTTGTGTGTGTGTGCGTTGGTTGCGAAAGTTTTTGGAGAACGTGCTCACCGTTCAGCTATCTGTGGCTCGGCTTTGGTCAGCTCTTATGGATTATGAAAGATATATACACAGTTATTCCTTTGCCTCTCATAAAGAGCATGACTTATATTTCTCAGCATAGCTTGTGTGGGCGTGGCAACAGCCCCAGAGCTGCTCTACTATGCCATTTCCTGATTGCTTGACGCATATTAGCTATGCGCAAACCAGTCCAAAAATACCACGAAGAGCCAAATTGAGCTGCAAAAGAAGGAATTGAGCACATTATAAAAGAGAAAGCTGATTGACTTTAAAGTGTCTTCCATTCAAATAAATTTTGATGAATTCAATACTCCAAATGGTTTCTCTCGACCGAGCTGAGCTGTGGGAGCAGTAAAACCCACACTTCAGTTGCAATTTCTTGCTCCAGATGAAAATATATTAAAACTGAAAACACTCGTAAATATTTGCAAGTTGTTTTTGTAAGCAACACAATGAAAGTAAGACAGATATATACATACATATATATTTATATAAATACGTATACATAAATGGAGCGAAGCCTTTATAAGCAACACAACAAATTCTCGACATGATGACAGACTGACAAGCAGACAGACAAACAGACGGACAACAGCATGGCAGGCGAGTGTGTGTGTGTGCGTGTGTGTGTGTGGTCGACTCCTTTGCCAGAACTCAATGTCTCGACTTCAAATGTGGACAGTTGCACGTGCCAGCGGAATGGACATAGACATAGACATAGACATAGACACAGACACAGACATGGGCCATGTCAGAGAATAAAGTTTGTGCAAAATGTTTGTATGCCATATAGCGTACAACCAGTATGGGCCAGCCCTCACCCTTCCCCACTGCCTACATATGCTTGCGTATGTAGATGTGCCTATATAGTTGACCAAGATACGCATCTCGCAACAGCAGCAGCCGCCAGTGGAGATGTAGTTTGGCAGCCTATGGGGTTTGGGGCATAAAAACATTAATTCAGTCGAAGGTCGAACAACTACTACATCCACACACACACACACACACACACACACACGCTCAGCATGTAGCTCGTTATAAGCCAGTGCAGGGTTAAGACTTGTCAGAGAGAGAGAGAGAGAGGGAGATAGACGGGGGGATGGTTAGATGGGGCTTTGGGTCGTCAACGCTCTCTCACTCCAATAACATAAAAATTTGTTGTTGTAAATCTGCTCAGCACTTTGTGCGTGAGAGTAGCACAGTTTAATAGCAAAGCACACACACACGCACACACACACACCCTTAAATACGGCGGCATACACGTAATCTGTTGTGTAATGTCTTTAGTTGTGTCAACTGTGCTACATGTTGTGCCCCAGCAAGAGCAACAGCAACAGCAACAACAACAATGATGGCAAATCAAGCGTTAGGGCGCGCGGAGCGCAGGCATTGTCCGATGTGCGCTGTCTGCAGAGGCAAAAACAGATTCAGAGTGAGTGCGAAAACTGGCAGCATGCAGAGTGCTCCGCGCTCTTTCTCAGCCAAGCTGAAGTTTTGAAACAACATTTAGATAAATTTCCCCCGAGAGTTGCCCAACGCGTTGCGTCGCAACAGAGAAGAAAAAAGTACATTGCTAAAAGAATCATGTAGTTGTTACAACAACAACAAAAACAACAACAACAGTAACAACAATTGACTATTGCAGCTGAAAATGTAAAGTGAAACTATCTGAAAGCGAACGCAATATAATGTTTCCAAAATGGCTAACAAACTTTAACTGAAGCAGAATTCATTCACTGAATTTGAATTGCAACTTTTAGTTTTCCTGAACATTTTAATCAATATAACTACACTTTTATTAAAACAAGTCGGAGCAACAATTCATAATTCAAACTTTGTTTTGCATCAGGCCTGAACAGGACTTTAATGAATGTAATTAACTTTGCTGAAGAGTGAAAGGCTTCAGCATAATGAAGCACTACTAAATACAGGGCATGGCAAATAGTTCTTGATTGCACATTATATTAAATACATATAAATACTGGCATGTGCGTAATTAATTAAGAACTTATTTGATATGAAATAGTCGTTAAGGTTTCCACTCAAATGTCTTATAGACATAGACAATGAAATGAATAATAAACAAGTAAGAAAACTCTAGTCGAGAGTGCTCGACTAGATACTACCCTGAACCCAACAAATAAAAATGCTCATTTAGTATGGCTGAAATTTCAATTTCGATGTATTTAAAAATATAAATAAAATACCAAACTCATTTAATAAAATATAAAAATATTTTGAAACAATTAAAAAAAATTAACATCAGTTGCATCGATCGGGATTCGAACCGCGACTCCTCGATCGAGCGTCATGCTGCTAACACACTAGGCCACCTCACTCCTGCTAGTGGCGCTGGCAAAACTCAAATAGATTCACTGCTGCAGCGCCATCTACCAAAACTAAACGAAACTAACTGCTGATGTGATTCTAAGAATCTGCTAGAATAACCAAACTATTAAAAACGCACATAAAGTATAGTTAAAATTTCAATTTCGGTGTATTTAAAAATATAAATTAAATAGAAAACNTAAAATTAAAATAGAATAAACATTATATAAATATATCTCATTCTCTCGTTCTCGTTGTCATTTGTAAACCGCTTAAATTCCAATCGAAAATTTGACACTCGCTTTACCCATTATTGCTTAATTATGCTGAAACCAAGTTGAAGTCAGGGCAAGTCCGGGCATGTTGGAGCTCGCATGTTGTCTGCTTTAATTGCACATGCCACATTACCTCAGCTACTCCTTTTCATCGGCAGCCGCTCCCCAATAGTTGAAGGTCGTAAAATGGCTGAAAATGTTTGACTTTGTTCACTTGGAATAAGTAAGAGCTGCTCAATTTAGTTGCTCGACTGTGTACTTGGTGGTTTCGCCATTAAGCAATTATGGGTGGGGGCTGGCGCAGTGGAGTGGGTCATGCGGTTGCCATTTCGTTGCTTGTTGTGATGGCCTTTTCTACCAGAAAACACTACACAACCGAATTGAGTAACATTTGTGGCTGTTGCGAAAACTTTAGCACAAATTTCATCGAGCTAAATGTCAAGTCATTAATATTCAGGCCATAAAAGCTCTACCACATCCACACAGACACCAGCACAGACTCACCCACACACACACACACACACATGCACACGTATTTATACACTTATTCCAGGAATTCAAAAACTCTGTTTCAACAACGACAGCTCAATGTGGCCTCGACTGGCAAATAATATTTAATTAGAGAATTGTTTAGACAAACTTTTTAATTACGTTCATCGTTGTGTGTGCGTGTGTGTGTGAGTTATTAAGCGACCCGCATAAATCTTCAGATGTGTCGGGGGCTTCAAATTTTCGTGAAAAATGCACGCTCCACTGGTCGCTCGACTCTCGTGCAACGCCCCCTTGTCTGCGCCGCCCACCGAACGGGATGCAGGCTGCCAGCAGCGAGGATCTGCCACGCCACGCACCGCCTCTTTTGGCTCTGCCGCCCTTTTGGCTCTCTGGGCTGGCTGACAGCCGGGACGAGCTGTGACCGTCAGCTGCATAAATTTCAAGCGACAGCAACATTAAAGTCAACATTTTGCCAGTGGCCTACATTTGCGAGGGGTCTGCAAGTGGCGGAGTGGGGGGTCCCTCGCCAGGGAACTGGGCGCTGATACTGGAAAATGTGGATGGTACAGCTCCTGCTGCTGCGAATGTCCTTTTAGCATGACTGCCTCCGCCTTTCGCTTTCGCTGACATGTTGCTGCACACACAGACACTACTTATGGCATGTGTGTGTGTGTGTGTGTGTTTTTATGTAGATGAGTTGGCAGTAACGTGCGCAAAATTATGAAGATGAATTTCTGTGTGGCACTTTTTTCTTAGTCACATTTTTTTTTTTTCCCGTTGCAAATAAAAAAATAAAATAAAAGTGTAAGCCTCTGAGTAGCTCAAAGAGCATAATTTCCACTGCAGTCAAAGAGACGGACGTTGCCTGAGCCATTGGACGACTTTAAGCTGCTCTTAGCGGAATATGAAACTCCGAAGAAAAGAAAAATAATAAATAAATTCCACTTTGACAACGCGCAACTGAATCAAGTAATCAGATTCGAAACTTTTCAGAGCCTAATTATATCGTTAATTAACGTGAAAAATATCGAGATTCATATGAACAGGTAGCTTGAGAACAAAATGCATATGAAACACTTTAAAATTAAATTGAATAATGAATAATTTGATTTACATTTATAATATTAATTTCAGGGCAGCTGTGCTAATTTGCTGTGAGGTGCTGCCTTTAAACTGTTTCAGGGTTAATTAGATAAGGGGCAATACAAATGGAGTGATGCATTTTAGTGATATGTGTTGCGGCGCTCAATACAAATTGCATTAGCTGCGGCATGTGGCAGGGCCAATTGGGTTCACTAAGTCCGCAAATGGCGCAACTTGAGATAATTAATTGAGCGCAAAACTAAACACGAGAGCAGCAAAAGCAATTATCTACAATAATACTCAGACACACATACACACACACACACAGACATGAGATTGTGCTGACCACACCCACACAGACAGACGCCCATCAATAGAGCTAAGTAGAGTAAATCACTTGGCATTTAGCAGTCCAAAAATAAATCGATTCTCGACTACTATTAACGCTACATTAAAAACCCTGATTGCCCTTTGTTTCATTTCAGATAAATGCGCCAGCACACAAACAGACAGGCACGAGTCCAAGGGATACGAAATTGGCTCCCAGACCTGACAGATGTTGTTTTCCCAACAAGAATAACAACTCGGCCGAGCAGCTCAAGTGGAACCCAGCCGCACATGGCATTGGGCCAAGGCTTATTTACAAAGCAGCAAATGGAGTGTGTATGAAAATAGCAGAGACTAGAATAACAACAGCAACAGCAATAGATCAAAACTGATAAACTAAAACAATAAACAAATAAATAATCGTATGCAAAAATTATCAGCAGAAGCCTAGAAGAGACAGAGCTCCATAAAATTGGCCATAAAATCAAAGCGACAACGACTGAGCCGTCCCATAAAAAAGCGTCGATTCTTCGGCTCCAGTAAACAATTTATATTGCATATGTACATATACATATATAAAACGAATAAGTTTTATTTGGCGAATTCCGTCAACGTGTGCACAAACCAGGTCCTTGCACATTGCGTATACGCCACGTGTTGCCAGCGTCAGCAGAAAATACAAACCGACAGTCAAAGTGAGTGAGTGAGAGAGAGAGAGAGAGAGCGAGAAAGAAAATACAGTTTGACTTTATTTTTGGCTAGGTGCTAAATGCGTTTACATATCTCTGGCGCGGCAGTTGCCGCCTCCGTTACCAGTGCAGCGAAATAGAAGTGAAAGTGCGAAGATTCGCATTATTTCTGCGTAGGCAAACATTAATCTCTGGCTAGGCGAGGCGAGGGGCGCAGTATGCTGCGCTTGTGGAAAAATCGATCCAAAATGCGAATAGACGCCGCTAGCATGAGCAGCAGCAACACCACTAGTACCACTACCACCACCACCACCACCAGGACCACTTTCACCAACAGCAGACAGCCACATCGCACCAAGCAGCTGGCACAGTTACTCATTGGCAGCATCCTCTGCATGACAATTGGTAAGTTTGATTTAACTGTGAAAAGTATTTTAGCCATAAAGCGAAATTATAATTTAAAGGCATTTCAATGATTATTGCCCCGATTGCAAATACAATTTCAATCACTTTATTTGCGCTTACATAATTAGTGAATGCCGCTCCTCGAGCTAATTAACAAAGTGCCCAAAATGCTTGCGGGCTAATTAATCAAATTAAAAGCTTTTATTGCACTCGGATAACCCAAAAGTTTTCCTGACCTTAGCTCATACACTTATGATTAAGTGTATTGCCGAAACTTGGCCAGTTGATGAAAAGCAAATAAGTAATTGCTTAATTTATTTAAGATTTCCCTTCATTGTCTCTAGATGCCCGACATGAAAAAGGCAATGCCAGTCGATGGAGTGGATCTAGTCTAGCAATAGTTGGGCTGACAGGCCTGAGACAATGCTTATTATAAAGCAGAAGAGAAGTACAGTTAGACAGGTAGAAATTCGCCACCTATATAAACTCAACTGACGGCTTAAAGCTGATATTTAATTATTATATATATA